TCTAATACGTGTGAGTCGGGGGCTGGCAGGAAGGTGGGTGGGGGTGGGGGTGAAGGATCATAGATTTAGTGTAAAATGTTAAACTACAAAACTCCTAAAAGAGAACAGAGGAGAAAATCTAGGCGGCCCTGGGTTTGGTGAATGCTTTGGGGACACAATGACGAAAGCAAGATCCAAGAAAGAAAAAATAAGTATGTTTTCATCAAGATGAAGAACTCCTGCCCAGAGAAAGACAGTGTTAATTAAGGAGATGAAAACACAAGCCACAGACTGGCAGAAAATCTTTATAAATCACTTACCTGATAAAGGACTGGTATCTAAAACATCCAAAGAACTCTTAAAACTCGTAGAAGACGAACAACCCAATTAAAAATGGGAAATAGATCTGAACACGCAGGTCAAGGAACAAAAGCAATTTGAAAGTGCTGGGTCTTTGGAAAATTGCAAATAAAAGAGTTATCACCAGCCTCTAGGTGTAAACCCTAACAATTGTTTTTTGGTTGGTTGGTTGGTTGGTTGTAATGCAAGGGCCTGAATTAAGCTTTGATTGCTAAGACATTCACTTCAAAGATGGCCATTTCAAATAAACACACAGCCAGCCTGCAGGAAGAATAAGGCCCCGGCCCCTCACTGAGCCATCTTTTTTGTTAAACATCTTGATTGATTTCAATAACTATCTGGGCTGCTTGTTTTTCCTCCTCCTCCACTTGAAATGCCCGCTCTTGTGTTTTAAATTCACCAAAGAGGGGTGCCCGGCTGGCTCAGTCGGTTGGGTGGCCGACTTTGGCTCAGGTCATGATCTCACGGTCCGTGGGTTCGAGCCCCGCGTCGGGCTCTGTGCTGACAGTGCGGAGCCTGCTTGGAATTCTGTCTCCCTCTCTGCCCCTCTCCCGCTCAAGCTCTGTTTCTCTCAAAATAAATAAACTTAATAAAAAAATTTTTTAATTTAAATTCACCAACAAAAGGCCTTAATTGACTATTAACATGCATAAGGGTCCTCCATACCTCAAGGCAAGGAGAGCTAAGGAGGGTGAAAGTGCGATCACAAGGCTACTGTCATATCCCAAGGGCAGGCTCTAGGCTAAAGGCATGAGGGAAACAGTCCCACATTTGAGCAGTCTGGGAGAACTCCGCCTGTGACCACAGAGTCAGTGACTCATGTCCGGACTACAAGCCCGAACCCAGAAGAGTGAAGCAGCCTTGCAACCAGAAACCAACGGCACCACCAGAGGAAAAAAAATGTAACAAAGGCCAATGGTCTCTGTGTCACTCTTCACACCTGACTCGATGGGATATTGGTCCGATTCCGGGCATGATGGTGCTTAAAAAAAAAAAAAAAAAAAAAAAAAATGAAAGGACAGATATAAATGTCATCAACATCCGGGGTGCCTGGGTGGCTCAGTCAATTAAGCGTCCCACTTCGGCTCAGGTCATGATCTCACAGTGCGAGAGTTCGAGCCCCGCGTCGGGCTCTGTGCTGACCACTCAGACCCTGGAGCCGGCTTGGGATTCTGTGTCTCCCTCTCTCTCTGCCCCTCCCCTGCTCACGCTCTGTCTCTCTCTCAAAAAATAAATGTTAAAAATTTTTTTCAATAAATAAATGTCACCGACATCCGGTGTAGGCACCCAAGATCCCAGAGGACAAACACCTGCTCCTTGATAAATGCAAAAGCCCAAGGCACGTCCTGGGTGTTCCTCAATGCTATCATACCAGCATGCCGAGAGGTCTCCGGCTCTAGAGGGTTCGCCTAAGGGGTTTTCTCAAAGACCCTGTGCATATCACACTAGTGGAGGCAGACCTCAAGCCAGAAGTCTCTTGGGACTCCCTGGAAAGGAAAATTGTTAACTATGAGGGCTCACCGTGCCATCATCCAAAAGTGTCTGGTAACAGGGACACCTGGGTGGTTCAGTCGGTTAAGCGTCTGACTTCAGCTCAGGCCATGATCTCACGGTT